ATTTTTCTTTTGTGGATATAAGTCTCACTAACCAGTTCAGGCTTGTCTTGAACTATGTAGCTCAGACTGGCCTTGAACTCATGTTGAGCCTCCTGCTTTACTATCCCTAGTGGTGGAATTACAGATGTGCACCACCACAATGGCTAATAAATCGATTTTAAACAAATCTGCCAAGATAAATCAATAGGGAAATAACTGTCTTTTCAATAAGTGATACAGAAACAATAAATATCCAAATGACAATAATAGTAATAATAACCCTAGCCTAACTTCAGGACATAATAAAAATTACTTTAAAGTAAAACACAGACTTATTTATAAGCTAGAATTATAAAATTTCTAGGAAAAAAAATGGAAAAAACTTTTGTGAACCTATATTAAGCCACTACTTCTTTGGTCACAAAACACAAAACAATGCAAAGATAAAAGAAAAAAATAATACACTGGACTTCACTGAAACTAAATTTTCTGCTCTTTCAAGGTCACTTTTAAAAGCCAGGCATGATGGAACAAGTCTGTAATTTCAGTACTCAAAAGGCTGAAGCAGATGGATCACCATGTGTTCAAGGCCAGCCTGTACTATAGAGTTCAAGGCCACCCTGAACTGCAGGGTGGGTGCAAAAACTGCAAAAAACAAAAACAAAAATAAAACCAAAAACTTGCTTGTTAAGAAACAACTTAGAGGGACTGGACATTTAGCTCAGTGGCATAAGCACCTGCCTGGCAAGCACAAGGTTGTGAGTTTTATCCCTGGTACCATAAGAACAAAAGAAAGAAACAACTAGAGAGAGAAGGAGAGAGAGATTCTTTCTATATGATCAGTTACAAGTAAGTTGCAGACACTTGCTGCAAAGTAAAAATGAGGAAGCTAAGAAAAATAATTTGTGTATAATCTCTCTGTTGTGAAAAGTAATGGCAAACTATGTTTTTTTAATTGTTTAAATAACATGCATTCTCAATGAAGCATACCAGTTGCTGACAGAAAATTCTAAACAAATATTTAAGGGCACAAATAAAACATTTGTACATACATCCAAATCCAGATACTGATGCTTACAAGCTGTGAAAACATGGACAAGCTACTTAGTATCTCTGCATTCCAGATTAAGCATCTGTAAAAATCAAGAAAAGGTTATTTCCTGGCACTGTTACAAGGATTCAATGAGAATAAATACACACACACACACACACACACACACACACACACTAAAAGACAAAAAAAAATGAAACTAATAGATGTCTTATTCTTTTTAACTCTGATCTCTGGAAAGAAACAGGAAAAAAGTCATGAATACAGGTTGGGGATTTAGCTCAGTGGCTTAAGTGCCTGCCTTGCAAGCGCGCGGTCATAAGTTTGATCCCCAGTACCGATTAAAAGAAAAAAAGAAAAAAAGAGAAAGAATCACAAAAGTCATGAAAATAAAGACAGGAGAAAGGAAGTAACAGAAAACAAAAAGCAAACAAACCAATAGATTTTTCTCCCCCATCCTCTTCTCTCCTTACCTATATACCAATATTTCTGACCCAGCAGATTCAACTGCTACCTAACACTGAAACAAAAAGAAATGGCAGAAAAAATAGAAAACAGAAGAAACCTCAAGAAAAGGAGTGTCATTTGTTGTTTAAAATATGTATCTATTATAGAAATAGTAATATCTACAGCGATGTAAACATATCTCTACATATACATATCTATAGAGGTTTACAGATATTGCCAACTCACTGCATAAGATTTGAGTATGAATGCTGTCCTACAGGCATGTTACTGTCCACAACACATTAAAGGATATTCACACTCCATAAAACTGTACATAAAATATCCTTTCTTAAAACAAATTGTACCATCTACAATACATAAAAGAAGAAAGCCTGAATCAAAGGTTCTGACTACAGGTGTAACTTAGTGGAAGAGCACATGCTTAGCATGAACCAGACCTTGTGTTCACTCCCTAGTGCACACAGTACTCCACTCTCTTCCCTCCTTCTCCACCCCCCCACAGAGATCAAAGGTTCAATCAGGTAATTCTGCTGCACTGGCTACAGCTTGCTCTGAATCTGCTAGTTACTCAAAGCATAGACATAATCATTTGCTATATTTACTATACTTACCTACAAATACTCATATTTAGTCACAGTTGAACTAAAGTCACCTAGGATTTAATACATATACATCCTATGAAGACTATCTTATAAAAGACAATTTTAAAATGAGACTTCTTTTTCTGCATGCCAGGCAAATGCTCTACTAGTAAGCTAAATTCTCCCAGCCCCAAAACTAACTAAATCCATGAGTTCCTTAGAAGAAATTTTTGCTTATTTTTAAAATACAAAGAAGAAAAGAAAAAAACACACAATTTTGTCCAGAAAATTATTACAAAGGTAATCCAAGCATATGATGAGTAGTTCATACAACTACAAGAAATGCAACAGCTGGCAAGGTGGCACATTCCTATAATCCCAGCTACTCAGAAGGCTAAAGATGGAGGAACCAAAGTTTCGGGCCACCCAGGGCAACTAAGATTCTGTCTCAAAATAAAAAACAAAAAGGGGTTGGGATATAGCTCAATGGTAGAGCAGTTCATAGTATTAGGCAGGAGGGTGAGGAAACAGTATATTTTGTCAAATTATAATACAGTAATTGGCAATAGCATGTTGGGTACACTATAGGAAATTCAAAGATAAACCATGGTCTTTGCTTTTCATTTGTTTTGCTTTGTTCTTTAAGACAGGGTCTTGCTATGTATCCCAGGTTGGCCTCAAACTCATGCCTCAAACTCCTGAATGCTAGCATTACAAGTGTACACCACTATGCCTGGTGGGTTGTGCCCTTTTTTTTGGAGACAGGGTCTCACTACGTAGTTCAGGCTGGCCTGGACTCACTATGTAACGAAGACTGACATTGAACTTGCAGTGATCCTCCTTCCTCAGCCTCCAAACAGTGCTGGGATTACAGGAATGCACCATCATGCCCAACTTTGCTTTTTAAAAGCTTGAAATCTGTCAACAATATTTGAGTGCTTTACACTGGTCAGGAAGTGTGTTATACACTACTGATTCCAGTAGTTCTCTTTTCAGCATTATTGAGGGATAATTTATATATAGGAATTCTCTATTTAAAGAGTACAATGTAATGTTTTCATGCTTGTATGAACTGTAAAATGACTGCCTCTAAAGCAGTAGCTCCTAATTTGACTGTAATCACCTGGTGAGCATTTAAAGTGTTCTGGTGCCTAGTTCAACATACTAGAATTCCTGGGAAAAAAAATACATATTAGCATAATAACAATACCAAGTAGAAAGTAAAAAATAGCCTAATGGGAATGGCGGCATTCCCTATAATTCCAGCGTCTGGAAGGCTTAAAGCAGGAAGATCAAGTTTGCCTACTCTCCAGGTTCAAAAGTTTAGGCAACAGCTGTGAAGATAGTAGGATTCATTATGACACCCATACTAGATGACTATTACCTACTTTTGAAGACCTGTAATATCTCCAATGTTTTGGTTTTGTTGGTTTCGTTCTTTACTGTTTTGTTCAATTTTATTATAACTGATGATATAGGCAATTCTATTTGGGATAGCGAGAGGCATTATGGTAAGCATTGTTGATCACCTTGTATTATGTTTTTACATTATCTATTATGTCCACCCTTTTGATTTAACCGACTCTGTTCTGTTAAGTCACATTTGGTTTTACTCTCTTTCAAAAAAAAGTAATAAGAACTGTGGGAGCAATAAAACCCAAAATGTGTAATAGTCATTATACAAAAGAGAGGAAAAGAAAGTGCTCTAAATGGTATAACTGCATGTAAATTTAAGTGTATAAGATAGACAATGATACTACTGAGTTTTGTTGGATCATTGAACAGAACCGTTTGCAGTCTCACTGTTTGAATGTCCACTTTATATGCTTTAATCTTGTAACTTGAACAAATATATCTAAGATGACAATAAAAAAAAAAAAGTTTGCCTACTATGAGTAATTTAGCAACTTCATGAAACCTTGTCTCAAAAAATTAAAAAAAGGACTTAGGAATGTAGCTCAGTGCAAAGGCCCTGAATTCAATCTCTAGTACCACTATTTTTAAAACAAAAAAGCTCAACTGGTATAAATGAATGATAAGGAAACACAAAAGAGATTATAGGAAAGGATCCAGTAAAGTTTTATGAAAGAGTGGCAGTTCTTACGCTAGAAACTCAAGAATCAAAGCAAAGACAGAAACACATGTCCAGGAGCAGAAAAAGAGGGGCACAGAAACCATAAGATGTTAGGAATACTTGGACTACATTTTAGAGGAGGAATGTAAAATGTGGCGAATGCAAGAGAAAACTATGGAAAATGAAGTGAAAGGAGTATCTAAAAAGTAGAATACGCTAGTAAGTTTTGACTTCTCAAGGAGTCATTTTGATGAAAGTGTTAAAGAAGTATGAGGTGACTTTTTAAACATTTAAATCTACAAATTATCAAAAAATTGATTTCAGAGCTCTATTAAGTATTCAATGTTCATATATTTAATATTTGTAAAGACAAATGAAATCAACATACATTTCACTGATATCTCTAATTAAAAAAGAAAAAACACTAAAAAGCAAAAATATCACTTCTGCCAAATTATAAGCCTGCCCAGATTCAAGGGAAGGGATGTCAGACATCATTGTAAGAAGCATGTAAGATGGAAGATAGTGTCATGGTCATCTTTTGAAAATATAATCTGCCATACACATGAATATTAACTATTATATTTATATTGAGTCTTGTTTTTTTTCATAATCATCTTTAGAATTCTATAACATATACTTCCCTTTTACAAATTCTTGTAAAACACTTTAAATTCATAAATATTAAAGATAGTGGAAAAATATGAGTGAAACTAAAAAGTTAAGTTTTAAAATAAGCAAGTCATACAACTACCTTTAAGAATACTAATCTAAGATGTCTTGTACACTGGGTGAATGATTCAGAGATGCCCCTGACTGACATATTTTGAAATTAAAGTAAAATAGATTTGGGGGGGAAAAAAAGAATACTAACCAACCATTACAGAGAACTATGTCTAGGCAAAACTAAAAACTTAAAAATTTCCAACCTAACATCTTAGTACAAAATCAACTAGGAGCAGAAAATATCAAACAAAGTCATGCAAATTACTCTCATTAGCAGAGATCAAAACTGGATTTGTACATTTAAGGGTTTCCCTTCAGAATCTGGGCTAACTTAGCCTGAGAAGGATGAGGAAGGGAGGAGGTTGTGACCTATTTCTTCACAAAAAAATTTTAAGTATTTAAGATTTATCAAAGAAGGTAGAAGAAAAGACGAAGAGAGGCTGGGGCGGGGGGGAGTGTGAGAGTAAAGGGTGGGTAAGAGGAGAAAAAGATACTTCAAGAGACAAGTCAAGGCAAAATGATGAAAAAAATTACAACTCAGCAGGGGAGCAGATATGCTAGCCCTACAAAAGAAAATTAAAGATAAAACAGAACTAGAGTTACAAGTATTCTGTTAAGGTAAGAGAACAGCATAATCTGAAAAACAAACCTACAATGCAGAATTATCAAGACATATATGTGTATATTAAAAAAAAAAGAAAAAAACAGAATTATCAAAGAGCTGGAGCTATAGCTCAGCAGCGTAAGTGCTCACCTGGCAAGCACAAGGCTGTGAGTTCAATCCCCAGTACAAAAAAAAAAAGAATTACCAGGACAATTTTACTTAACTTTGTTTTATGCAATAAATATCTACAAAGCATTCAACCTTGTATTTCAAGAACCTTCTCATTATTTTGTTTGAATGTTATCTGCATATACATTCAGTATCTAGAGTACCTACTTATACTGAATTCCTAATTGATGTGGCAGTAACATTCCTCCCAGGTATTTTCAAATTGTATTTTTTAACTTCTTTCTTCAATAATTGTTTATTAAATGTATACTAATGATCAAACAGTCATAATGAGTAAAACGTAAGTCCCCACCCTAATATTTCAAAATTTAGCAGGGAGAGGAACATTCAATTACAATATCAGGTTGAAAATTTTAAACCTGATAGTGGAGGTCCCAAGTAGGAAGCGATTAATTCTACCTAATGCTTCTCAGAGGCTGATCCTTAAAGAACAGGGATTCAACTATCAAAGGTAGATTGTACTTCATGTACAGAAAACACAAACAAAAGGATGAAGTGGCATTGGATAATCAGAGAATTACAGTAAGTGTAAGTGGACTATAAGGTGCAAGAAACAGAGACATAACAAAGGAGAATAGAAAGATAACTAGCAGACACATGAGAATCCTGACTTTATTCATGATGATACTACTCCTGGCTAAAAGAGTATATTTTTTGGCCTCTCTTGCAACTAAAAATTGTTGATAAAAATGTTAGCTGATCAGTAGGAATGTGATCTTATATACTACAAACATATACTGATTAAAGAAAAGAAAGATGAAAGAGGGGATGGGAGGGAAGGAAGAGGAGGGGAGTGAAAAGAGAGAAAGTGAGAGAGGGAGCCAATGAATTCCAAGTAGGATAAATTCAAAGAGATCTACACGGCTGGGGCTTTAGCTCAGCGGCATAAGTGCCTGCCCTGCAAGCAGGCAGTTGTGAGTTCGATCCCCGGTACCAGAAAAAAGACCCAAAAAAAAAAAAAAAAAAAAACAAAGAGATCTACACAGAGAAACAACACAATGAAAATGGCTATAGGTAAAAGCAGAGAATCTTGAAAGCAGCAAGAAAAAAAAACTCATCATTTACATCACATATATTTACATATATTATACATAAGACAGTGGGAAGCATATTAAAAGTGCAGAAAGAAAAAGAATTATAATCTAATTAACCACTTAACAGTTTACCCCAAGCTGCACTCAACATTATTTGTTTGCACACTATTTCAAGTGTTGCTGAGACAGGTATGTTTCAACCAGCCAATTCCTGAACTGAATAAATCTGATAAAAATATGCTTTGGGGGACAGAGATTTAGCTCAGCAGCATAAGCACCTGCCTGGCAAGTGCAAAGTCATGAGTTCAATCCTTAGTACTAAACAAACAAACAAACAAAAAAAAGGCTCATTTGGGGGGCTGGGTATCTAGCTCTGGCTCAAGCGGTTGCCTGGTAAGCACAAGGCCATGAGTTTGATCCCAGGTACATTAAAAAAAAAAAATCAATCTTATATTTCCTATTAGATTATCTTAATAAAAACTAATGAAAAAAGATACAAATTCTGAGCCGGGCATGGTGGCTCATGCCTGTAATCCCAGCACTCAGGAGGCTGACGCAGGAGGATCATTGCAAGTTCAAGACTACAAAGTGGGCGCAAGGCCAGCCTGCACTGCATAGTGATACCCTGTCTCAAAAAGACAAAAAAAAAAGATGCAAATTCTGGTCATCCTATATTTTAAAGAACTGGACTGGTAAATGGTTAATACGCTATCCTATTCTCTCGTTCACAGCCTTATGTTTATCACAACCTAGAATCTACAATCTCCAACTCACAGTTCAAAAAAAATGTTTTTCTTATTATCTTATACCTGATTTTGTTATTTCTAAAGTATATCTCTTCCCTCACATTCTTGGAAACACAATTTGGAATCAGGTTCATTTAATAACATACTACTTGAAACCAAGGTGGGAAATACAGCGCATTGATTATGGAAGTGCTGTATAGGTATAATTTAGGCATTTATCCATCAAAAGACAAAAAAAAAAAAAAAAAAGACTGTCTCAAAAGCTTCCCACTAAAAAGAGAATAGCTTTTCCTCAAAAATTATGTATGTAGGCAGTTGTGGGCCACCGGGAGGAGAAACAAGAAGCAACCCCATACTGTGAAACAGAGGCAACCAAAAAGGAGAAACAAGAAGCCAGTCCTTTCCTGTGAGCCAGCCAGCAAGCAGGCTGGAAGACAAAAAGAGCTAAGGCTCCACCACTACCCCGCGATACACAAGCTGAGATAATAGCTACTAAAAGTGGAAAAAATAACTTAATACTTGTAGTGTTTAGTGTCTGACTGACTTTGCAGGTCTAAAGCCAGAATTATGAGCGTTTATTTATTTATTTTTGGTGCCGGAGATTGAACTCATGACCTCCCACTTGCCAACAGGCCGCTTATGCCATTTAGCTAAATCCCCGGTAAGCATCTATTTAGAGGATAACAATATGCAATAATATAGCAACTATGGGGGAGTCCCTTCTGAGGATGGCAGCCATTGTTAATTTCCTATTATTTTGTTTTAAAGTCCTGTATCATTTTCATTATTTTGTTTAGTTTGTTATATCTGATGGCATGGGCAGCTATCTCAAAGATAAGGTATATTATGGTAGCCATTGTTGACTTCCTATTATCTTGTTTTGAAGTCTTGTATCACTTTTACTGTTTTATTTTGATTGGCTTTATTCTATTTTGTTTGGTTTTATTCTCCTTAAAATAAAATTTACATTTTTTTTTTTTTAAATTATGTATTTAGGGTGGGGGAATTTAGCTCAGCAGCTAAGTGCCTGCCTGGTAAGCACAAGTCTTGAGTTTGATCCCCAGTATCCAAAAAAAAAATTTTTTTTATTTATACATTTAAAGTACAATTTTATTTTAAAGGACAAAAAAGTAAATTCACAGAAATAACCACACAATAGCAATTAGATAAGGCAAGTAAGATAAAACTGTACACAGCACATTTTCTCCCAAAGCTCCTCCAAATTATATTTAAAAAAGAAAAAAAACTATCATCTATTCTTTGCCAGGCACTAATCTAGGTGTATTACAAGTACTGAGTCATTTAATCCTTGTAACAATCCTATAGGTTAGTTCTATTATTGCTCCCACTATAAAGACAAAGAAACAGAAACACAAAATTTAATTCATTTGCCCAAAGTCAAGTAGTCAGTGAGTAGCAGAGCTAAGATTTGCACCCAAAGCATCCATACTCTTACTTTCTATATGCCTTTAAAAATTCTAATGGTGCTGGATGTGAAGGTATAGTCTCAGCACTTGGAAGGCTGAGGTAAAAGGATCACTTCAGGTTTGAGGCCAGCCTGTGCTACGTAGTGAGTTCAAGGCCAGCTTAAACTACAAAGTGAGAACGTGCCTCAAAAAACAAACAAAACAAAAATTTTAGTAGTGAGATTGCTGTGAAATTAGTATACTTCGTCACCATTGGAAGCACTATACATGGGACTACCCTTTTGTGGACTAATATGGCAATATGCTAAGGGCTGCAGATGCAACTCAGTGGTCAAGTGCCTGTTGGGTTCAATTCCTAATACTGAAGGAGGGAAAAAGCAGTTTTTGTATTGGGTGGTAGTTTATTCTATTTTTTCTGAGATTAACTTTTTAACTAGTCTTTTATTACTCAAATAATAAGAAAACATTTTCTATTTTAAAATTTAAGAAGTATATACAAATAAAGCTAGATACCAGCAAGCCAGGCCTTTTTCCCTTCAGTCCTAATCCTTCCCCATCCTACTCACTCTTCTCCAACGGACCAATGTTTGGTTTATCTACTTCCACGTCTTTTCTTATGCTGTTTTTTTCTTTCACAGTACTGGGGATTGAGCCTAGAGAGCACTGAGCTACATCCCCAGGCCTTTTCATTTTTTTTTTTTTTTTTCTAAAAGTAGGACCTGGCCAAGTTGCCCAGGATGGCCTCAAACTTGTAAGCCTCCAGCCTCAGACTTCCAAGTACCTAGATTACATGTGTGTGCCACCAGGCCCCACATTTTTTATGCTTTCATAAGACATGTCCACAGAGACAGTGATGATATTATATATTTACAATACAACTTGCTCTTATATAGACATTGTTATGGATTAAAAATTGGTGGTCAACTTAATACCAACTGAATTAAATCAGCATGGTACTGAATGTAGATGACCCACCTAAGGAAAATTGCCAGCATAGAGACATGGAGAAGAGCTAGGTGTTGTGGGTTCTCCTAAGTGTTGCTGTTTCGAGCTGTTGGTTCTCCTGGAAGAGCTTATCATGCTGGCTTCCCTGATATGAATTCGGCCATTATCATTGGAGAAGCTTGGTGAGAATGGCTATCATTCACTTTGTGGGAGCTCTGCTCCTTACACTGAGCATCACTTCCTAGCTCCAGAGGAGAAGATGTGTGCTGTTTAATCTTTAGGAGAAGTGTCACGCTGACTTTCTGGCATGTACTCAACTCTTCTCATCATCAGAGGAGCTTGGGACCTCCTTTTCACTGAGGATGGCTGCAGTACTTTTCAGGGTAGCCCTGGTCCTTATTTTGAGTGTGACTTCTTGGTTCCAGGGTAGAACCCTCAACCTACTGGCACAGTTCCTTCATCCCACTGGCATAGATTTTCTGGACTCCACCACTGACTTCTGGGCCTTCCCAGCAGATCCATAAAACAGACTGGCGTGAGTCCTTGTTGTAGGCTCTAGACCTCCAGTTGGACTCATGGGAGGCACTGTCATGGGCTCTAGGCCTTCAGCAGGACTCCTGCAGGACACTGCGGTGGGATCCAGCCAGGCCCTTGGCTGAATATTCTGGGTCTTTAGTGCTGTGGACAGATTTCCTGCACTTGCTTGTGTTTAACTCTGGGTGACCATCATAAATAATAAAAATATAATATAAAAATAATAAAAAATAGTATTATAAATCCTGTGTCCTGATTGTAATTGTTCACCCCACCACTCCTGACTACAACAGAGATCTAGCTCTTTTCTTCATATGTGCATAGAATACCACAATATAGCAATACTACCGTTTACCTATCTGTTCACTTGTGGCTGCATATTCAGGCTGTTTCCAATTTTCCTTCCTACAGTTGTCATGAAAATTCATGTTCCATGCTTCTGTGGTTCTACTTGCTTCTTTACTATCGAGGGCCCATGAACATTTTCTGGTTTAATAAATATTGCCAAAATTCCTTCTGTGGGACTCTATTAAATTTCTACAACTGTACTTTTCTTAGCCATTTATTCACTATTGATTATACTCTCTGCAATTCAAATAAAAAAATTCTAAAAGAATTTATCCCATATTGGAAAAGAAAAAAGTTTATTCCATAGAACTCATTTAAGGATAGTTTTTTTAAATAACAGGGAAAAAAACCTCTACTTTTTTGGGGTGAAGATATAAACCTGGCTCCTTGCCACTCTTATTTTACATTCCTGACCTAATCCTCTGTAATTCACAGCAGCAAACAGTGTAGGGGTATCTCTACCATTTGGCCTCCGCACTCCAAAATACCATGTTGACAGCATGGCTGTATAGGTCTATGCCTGGAAACTAAAAGTGGATCCAATTATCTCTTCTACTATGCCAAAGTTTTTCCTGGTTTTACCACAACACATATGGATAGTACAGCCTGTAGAATGGATTGTGGCTCTTATCTTCACTGCAGATTGCCTGGGTCTATAATCAAAGGAACCACCCATCTTTACAAAGCAGCAGGTTGCCCCATCTGCCACTACATCTGTTCTCCAGTATCCCTAAGCTTAGCTGTATAGCATAAAAAACTAAAGTAGTCTAACAGATAATTCTGCTTCTTCCTATGAGAAAGACTGTGTTTTGTTTCTAGGTGTTTTGCTTTGTTTGTGGTACTGGGATTAAATCCAGGGACACTACAATTGAGACACATCCTCAGACCTTTTTATGTTTTTTGAGACAGGGTCTTGGTAAGTTACCAAATGGACTTGAACTTGGAACCCTCCTGGCTTCAGTCTCCTGAATAACTGGGATTACAGGCATATATACCACCACATCCACCTAGAAAGTTCTATTTTTTGGTACCCGGGATCAAACTCATGATCTCGCATTTGCCAGGCAGGTGCTTATGCCGCTGAGCTAAATCCCCAGCCTGAAAGTTCTTATCAACAATGACAAAAATATGAAATAATAACACAATGGAATTTTTTGTGGTGGAAAATGACAAGTCAATGAACGAAACAGTAACAACCTAACACATTAGAATGCAAATGGAGAAACACACAAGTACAGATTTTCTTCTACAAAAAGTGACAGCTCTCATTCTAAAGCAGTCAAGTATGCCACTATAGTTAACTTCAAATAATTTCTGGGAAAAAATGTGTCAGTGAAAACCCAGGCATGGTGGTGCATACCTGGATCACTGCAAGTCCGGGGCTAGCCTGAGCTATGAAGTGAGTGCAAGACCAGCCTGAACTGCACAGTGAAATCCTGTCTCAAAAGAAAGAAAGAAAAGAAAAGAGAAAAGACAAAGAAAAAAAGAATGTGTCAGTGTGAAAACTGTCCATAAAAACAGCACATAAATCTAAAAAGACACCACTTAGTTTATGGTCAGAGGAAATCTGTTGTGTACTCAAATACTCCCATAGTCTTAAAAATACCATGGAGAAAATGCCCTAAGTATTCATTAGTGTTTTTTATTTTCTGTAATATAACAAAAATGACTACTTAACATATGTTGATGACAAGTTATGTAGTTTACTTACTTGCTTCCGGCAGTTTCTCAAATCAAACACACAATTTATCATCCTCCTGGTTCATAAACTTCTGAAGTTATTTGCAATATGGCACTCATCAGTTCAACTACATTAAAATGTTTCCAAGTACCATCCTCTCTTCCCGAAAAAGGGAAGGAAAGGGAAAGGAGGGAAGGAGAGAGGGAGGGGAATGAAATGAGTTTTCTTATAATTCTGAGAGTTCACTTATCATTAAATGTCTCTAAGATCCTTGTTAAAAGGTACTACCAAAATAAAATGAAATGAAATTACCTCAGATGAGAACAAATTCACGGAATTCAGAAACTAAAAGCTATTAAAGAAAAAATTAACAAAATCTAGAATTGTTCTTTCTATACAGAATGGAAATAACTGAGATTTTTAAACATCCTTCTTGGCAAATTTGTGAAAAAGAACACAGACAGTGTCTGAATTTTCAATACTGCTGTCATTTGGAAAGTATATTAATATATTAAAATATGTCTTGGCAACCACTATAATGAAAAAATGACAGGAAAAATGTCATCTTCAATACTGTTAATGGTACCAACACATTTTGAAATAACTCACAAACTAATATTCTATCTCATACTCATCAAATATATTACAAATCATCTAATATCCTGTCTACTATTTTTTCTGATACCAAAAGCAACTCTAAAAAAATAATTATTTAAATGGATAGGTGATTCAAGTGTGAAAAAATATGAATTCTTTAAAGAAACTCGTGTATTTGCACTATCCAACTGTATTCTTTACATTTTCTCAAGAATGTTGTGCTAACAGTGATGACTATAAAGTATGCACAAAACATTTATAACAATGCTAGGAGTGTTAATCCCAGCACTTATGAGGCTGAGGCAGGAAGATCACTCCAAGTTTGAGGCCAGCTTGTGCTACATAGTGAGCTTAAGGTCAGCCTGAGTTACATAATGACACCCTATCTCAACGCCTCACCAAAAAAAAAAAAAAAAAACAGTAATAACAAATGTTTCCATCTTAGATCTTATATATCAAAAGATGATAAACTCATCTAGGAGTAGTAGTGGTGCATGCCTATAGTCACAGCACTCAGGAAGGTCCTGAGTTCAAGCTAAGCTACCAGAAAGTTCAATGCTACACAAAGAACTTTGGCCTACACAATGAAACCCTGTAACAAATACCTAAGAGTTTCAAGTTTTATACAAAGATTTTATGTATCATAGACAAGTAATTGTTGTGGCTATTTTATGTATTGTTATTTACTAATACCCAATCTCAGATTATACCAGTAAATGGTACACAGTTACCCTCTGTATCTGGGTTCTGCATATATAGGTTCAACCAACTATAGATTTAAAATATGCAAAACTGTAAATAAGGTGGGGAAGTTATATCACATAAAGGTACAAATTCCCTATGATGAATGTGATCATTATATATACCTAAAATATACCAATAAAAATTATTTTCTTTGGAGTAAAGCTAGCGTCTCCTGAGAATCCACGATGCTGGGACTTGGGGCACCTACTAAGAAATCAACAATCCAACCTTCCTGCTAAACAGCTCAAACCTACCAGCCTGTGGATTGAGAATCAACCCTCCCCCCACATTAGCAACCGGATGGTTCAGAGGACAGCCTGAGTAGATACCAACTTAGGTACATAAACCAACTAAATGCTTGTATTGGTTGGTTGATTATGCAGGCCTGGGGCCTGCATCTGAGCAGTCTGAGCATCTCTACAGAGGATGACAGTGTGCAATACAGCAAATATGGGAGATTTTCTTCTCTCTTGTCTTAGAAGTCTAATACTGTTTTCATTGTTTTGCTTTGTTCTGATTGTTTTTGCTTTATTCAATATTCTGTTTTGGGGCTGGGGATTTAGCTCAGTGGCATAAGCACCTGCCTTGCAAGCAGGCAGTCGTGAGTTCGATCCCTGGTACCGATAAAGTTAAAAAAAAAAAAAAAAGAGCAAACAATATTCTGTTTTGATTGGCTTTATTGTGTTTTGTTTTTAGTTTGATTTTGCTCTACCTGATGGGATGGACAACTAGTGTGATCCCAGTATCCTTCTCTGAAGTTCTATACCCATTTTGCAGCATTGTCTTGATTGGATTTGTTCTATCTTGTTTGTTGTATTTTACTATCTTTAAAGTAAAAAAAAATTTTAAATTATTTTCTTTGAAAAATAAAACAAAAACATTTAAAAATATGGACTAAATATCCAAGCTTTTTTCCTTGTCAGTACCTAAACAATACACTGTAACACCATTTACACTCTATTAGGTATTACGAGTAATGTAGAGAATATTTAAAATACAGGAGATACACTACTCGGGAGGCTGAGACAGAAGGACTGCCAGAAGTTTAATGTCAGCCTGGGCTACATAGTGAGTTCAAGGCCTGCACTACATAGCGAGTTCAAGGCCAGCCTGCACTACATAGCAAGAACCTGACTCAAAACAAACAAAAAACCAAGACAAAAACATACATACACAAACATATATGAATATGTGTATGTTGTATGCCAAAGTTATGCCATTTTATAGAAGTCATCTGTCAATTTTGGTTTTTTGAGACTGAGTCTTGTTATGTAATGTAGTTCAGGCTGGGCTTGAACTTACTATATAGTCCATACTGACCCAGAACACTCTACAGTCTTCTTGCCTCAGCCTCCTAAGTAGTAGGATTACAGGAGTAAGCCACCATGCACTGAATGCTTTCCTTAAATGAAGAAAATATTTTCAAGTCTTCCTTATCTAAAACTAAACTGTAAGTATTCAATTAATCTAATTTTATAAATATTTATTTCCTGAAAAGTGACTTTTATAGTTGAATTTAACTTTCAAGGGATTTAATCTGTAACTGAAGATGACTCTCCTTGCTAGGCATAGTGGTGCACACATGTAACCTCGGCACTTGTGTGACTGAGTCGGGAGGATCACAAGTTCAAGGCCAGCCTGCACTACATAGTGAGTTCAGCCCAGCCAAGACTACGAAGTGAGACACTGTCTCAAAAAACCAAAGAAAAGCGGGGAGGGGAATTTTGTTAGATTTAGTAATGGCTTCATATGACTCCTGATTTCTATAACTTTTTGTTTCTTTTTTGAGATGAGGTGTCACTCTGTAGCCCAAGCTGACCCTGACCTGATTCTCCAGCTTCAGCCTCCAGAGTAATGCAACTACAGATGTGCACCACAGTGTCAGGCTTCTGATTTCTAAACAGACAGTTACATTTCAAATACAGTTCAAGTATTTGTTTACAGTATTTTTTAATTTCTCAAATATTTTTGCTTGTTCTGAGCTAGGTTTTTAATATGTTGCCCAGGTTGGCTTCTAACCTGTGATTACCACATCTAAATTTCCTCCAGTAAATGGGATTAAACACCAACATTTTTACTTTAATCTATTGCTTAAATTTTTGGTGTGTTTCTCCCAGAAAAAGAAACATAACTACTATTATTGAAGCAGATAGAAGGGGCTTGGAAATGGACACTGTGGCACATAACTGTAATCCCAGCACTATGAAGTTGAGCCAAAAGATCACAAGTGCCTGCCATCTGTGGGCAATTTAGCTACCTACCAAAACTCTGACTCAACAGACAAATTTTTTTTTTTTGGCACCAGGGATTGAACTCACGACCTCATGCTTGCCAGGCAGGCACTTATGCCGCTGAGCTAAATTCCTAGCAACAGACAATTTTTTTAAAATAAAAAAGATGAAGCCGGAGATGTAGCTCAGCGGTAAAAACACCTGTCTTGCAAGTGCGAAGTCGTGAGTTCAATCCCCAGTTCCAAAAAATAAAAAATAGGGGCGGGGAATTTAGCTCAGCAGCATAAGTGCCTATCTTGTAAGCATGTGGTCGTGAATTCGATCTCCAGTACTGATTTAAAAAAAAGAAATAAAAATAAAATAAAATAAAATAAATGGGCTGGAGATACAAGCTCAGTGATAGAGCACTTGCCTAACATACATGGGGCCATGAATCTTGTCCTTCAGCACTGCAAAAATCTATGTATAATAATTTTAAGCCCATGTTCTAAAAGATTCTCATGTACTTTAAAGAACTAATAAGGGGGGCTGGGGATTTAGCTCAGTGGCATAAGCGCCTGCCTTGCAAGCAGGCAGTCGTGAGTTCGATCCCTGGTACCGATAAAAACGAAAAAGACCAAAAAAAAAAAAAAAAAAAAAAAAAAAAAAAAAAAAGAACTATATAAGGTAACCAGTTAAAAAAGAAAATTCAAATAGTGTCAAAACTCTATCTAACCAACTTCACCCTATTTCACAGGCTGTTTTTATGTATGGTACTTAGGATCAAATGATATCCTGCTACCAGTGAGCTATCACCCACTCCCCAACCTGAAGGTCTACTGCATAAAACACAATTCCATCTTTCAAACTGCAAAAGAAATACAGTATTTAGAGACAATAAAACACTTTGTGCTATACTCAGTACTAGATATTGTACACTTACAATTTAGTATCATAAATTTAAAAACTCACCAGTCATAGAAAATTCATTTACTTTTCATTACAATATGTAGTAAATGTGTTCGATTCATAGACACCAATTGGGAGAATTCAACTGTTTTTCCGTAGTCAGTTAAGAAATCCCAAGCTGCGCAAGATGATACACATATCCCCATACTCTGGAGGATGAGGCAAGAGGATTATCACAAGTTTAAGGCCAGCCTGGACTACAGAACAAGACTCTGTCTTAAAAAAACAAAAAAGCGGGGCTGGGGATTTAGCTCAACGGCATAAGCGCCTGCCTTGCAAGCAGGCAGTCATGAGTTCGATACCTGGTACCAATAAAAAAGAAAAAGACAAAAAAAAAAAAAAGGCTCAGGAATATATATAGCTTAGTGGCACCACACCTTGAGTGGCAAGCTCAAGGTCATGAGTTCAATTCACATTAAAAAAAAAATGATATAAAGACTTAAATGAGCTTCTCTATTACAGAATAATCTTTTCAACAAAAGGCCCTGGATACTAGTTGTAGGATCATTAAGGAAAAAGAAAATGAAGCAAAAAGAAAAATCAAAGCCATAGGAAATTGAGGCAGGAAGATCACAAAATGAGTTTCTTGTTGGTCTGGGCTACAAAGTGAATTTGAGATCAGCCTAGACTACATAGAGAGATTTTTTTTTTTTTTCTTTTCTTTTTTTGAGACAGAGTCTCAATATGTAGCTCATGCTGACCCTGAACTCACTACGTAGTCCAGGCCGGTCTCAAACTGATGTCACTCCTTCTGCCTCAGCCTTCCAAGTGCTGGGATTCTAGTCATGTGCTCCATGCTCAGCAAAAGATCTTATCTTTAAAAAATAAAACAATGAAGAAGCTGGATATAGCAACAGATGGACGTAATCCTACTACTCTAGAAGGCTGAGGCAGGATGATTGTCAAATTCAAGTCTAGCGTGGGTAACCTAGCAAAATCTTACCTCAAAATAAAAAATTTTTAAAAGGCTGGGGATGTAAGCCCAGTGCAGAAGCCCTGGGACCACATCCCCCCGAAAAAAATGCTGACAAAAAAATACATTTTAAACTGTGGTCCCAATTTTTAAAAAGCTAATACAACAAAACCCTGGAAACAAAAATAAAAACCATTAAAACAAAGAATTACATCTGTTCATCAAAAAACAAAATAAACATACAGTAAATCTAGGAGCTTATTTATTTTCTCTACTACACATAGTACTTCATATTTGTCAGCAATTTCCTGATAACCACACATGACTCTATATACAACCTCAGGATGTTAACATTCTGAAGTTTTATTACATAAAAGCACAAGTGCTCAAACATTTCACAAACAACCAAAGCAGAACAAAATAATTAAAATAAGGAAGTCTGGACTTCATATGATGCAATGTAAGCTGCTCTGAGATAATGTACAAATTTCTTATGCAAGGTTTGTTTGGTTTTCTGAGAGTCACTATGCAGTTCAGGCTGGCCTCGAACTCACACTGATTCTCTTGCCTTAGTCTTGTGCCACGACACCAAGCTCTAATGAAAGATTAAATGGAAGAATAACTAAACAATTTATATGTATATGAAAAAAGCTTTACAATTATGAATACAAATGATTTCAACTCAGATTAGCTGGCTAACAACAAAAAAAAACATAAATCTGGATCCTTCCATTCTCACAAGTTGAGATTAAAAAAAAAAAAAAAAAATCTGGATCCTAACATTCCATACACTAAATATCAGGTTTCTGATAAAGTTCAATATTAAAAATAACAACTCATAAATTAGGACCTTTTTTTAGGAATGTTATTTTTTCAGAAATACAGTCAGATGTAATAGCACACACCTGTGATCCCAGCACTTCAGAGGCTGCAGCAGGAAGACAAAGTTTAAGGCCAGCCTGGGCTACACCACATAATGAGTTCAGGATCAGCCTGCATTACAAAGCCAGACCCCGACTCAAATAAACAAACAAACAAGTTATATTTCAAGCCAAGTGTAGTGAGGTACACATATAATTAAAGCACTCTGGAAAACTAAGACAGGAAGATCTCAATATTGGAGCCAAATTCAGGTAATTTAGCCAAATCCTGTCTCAAATAAAAAATGAAAAGGACTGAGGATATAGCTCAGTACAAAAGCCTTGGGCTAAATTCCTAAGCACTACATGCAAAAAAAAAAAAAAAGTAAAATTTCAGCAGTAAAAGAAACACAACTAGCAGATTTAATATATAAATTTTAACTCACATTAAGAATCTCAAAAAGCAATAAGCAATGTAACAACCACCTTCGTTAAATTCCTATCTTGTTTTGAAATCCATCGTCACTTTTTTTGTTGTCATCATCACTTTTGTTTTTTAATTGTTTGTTTGCTTCTTCATTTTTCTGGGGTTTTTTCCCCTCTTTAAAATAAAAAAAGTGGGGGGGGGGATTATCAAAAACAAAAGTAGGGCTGGGGATTTAGCTCAGTGGCATAAGCGTGAGGTCGTAAATTTGATTCCCAGTACCAAAAAGAAAAAAGAAAAGTAATAAACTAATTTGAAAAATATTTGTAGCAAATGTTTGAAATGGTTAACATTTAATGTATTATACGAAGTGACTTTAAAAACAATTTTAAGAATTAAAAATGAAGCCAGGTGTGATGGCTCACTCTAATCCCAGCACTAGGGAGGCTGAGGCAGGAAGATCTTTGTAAATTCAAGACCAGTCTGGACTACAAAGTGAGCCCAGGCCAGCCAGAACTGCATTAGTGAGACCCTGTCTCAAAATGACCAAAAAAAAAAAAAGAATTAAAAAGTGATAAATAAAAGAGCAAACAGAAAATAGTGATACACATCTTTAAAGTTTTAAGACTCTGCCTTGACAACCTAAAAAATTTAACTGAAACCAGCTTCCATTTTAGTTAATTAGCAAGTAAGTTTTCTGCAAGTTATAATATCAAATGCTGATAAATGCTTAGTAAAATCAACAGCTGGATACTACTTAGAATGAGCTGAAGAGCAAATGCTTACAATGCATGAGGGCCTAGGATCAGTCATCAGCACACATGAAATAATTTTTTTTAATTTAAAAAGGAGGCCAGAAGCCGGGCGTGGTGGCTCATATCTATAATCCCAGCACTCAGGAGGCAGGAGGATTACTGCAAATTCAAGAGCAGCTTGGGCTACAAAGTGAGCTTAAGGCCAGTCTGAACTATATAATGAGACCTTGTCTCAAAAAGAAAAAAAGAAAAAAAAAAAAAGCAAACTCAATAGAAAGACTGGAAGACAAGACTGAAAGATTTCCCTAAAAGTAATAAAATGACAAAGATGGGAAAAGGCAAGAAAAGTGAACTTGCTTTAGAGATTCAACATCCCAGGACAGGAGTTCCTCAAAAAAATACAACAGAGAAATGTATCTATGTAATAACTAAAGAAAACCTCCTAGTAGTGAAGGACAATAGTTTTCAAATTACAAGAATTCATTTTTATAAGCAAAAAGTTAAAACAAAGTCCAGTTAAAAGGCATCACAGGAAATTTCAGAACATTGTAGATAAACATCCCATAAACTTCGAGAGGCAGAAACAACTGTACAATAAAATAGTTTAAGAATTATAATGGTGAGGCTGGGGATTTAGCTCAGCAGCATAAGCACCAGCCTTGCAAGCAGGCAGTCACAGTTCGATCTCTGGTACCGATAAAAATGAAAAAAGAATTATAATGGCATTGGCTGGCCCTCTTGACAGCAACATGGAAAGCTAGGCTAAAAATAAATGATATCTTTTTTTAATTCTTTAGAAAAATTATTGGGACTGGGGATTTAGCTCAGCGGCATAAGCGCCTGCCTTGCAAGCAGGCAGTCGTGAGTTCGATCCCTTGTACCGATAAAAAGGAAAAAGGAAAAATTATTTACTTTCCCACCTCTTTTTCTGGTACTGAAGAGTTGAATCTACAGCCTCATGCATGCTAGGCAAGCACCCTACCACTGAACTAATAATTTCTAACTTGAATCTTCTCTCATAAAAGCTTTCAGTCAAGTATGAGTATTGATGTAAGATACTTGTCAATCTTTTAAGAGTCTCAAATTATCTCAAAAACCCTTTCTGAAAGTTCCTGAAGGAAGTCATCTCTCAAATGAGGCAAAATCCAGAAAGCAAGTGGGGCCTGGTAGCACATGCCTGTAATCCCAGTACGTGGTAGACCACCCAGACCAGACAACAGGACAGGGATACAGCTCAATGTCAAGGCTCTGGGTTCAATTCCCAGAACTGGAGGAAAAAATACAGAAACTCAAAAAGATATGGGATACAGGTAACAAGAGATCTGTACAAGAGAAACGCCAGGATGAAGAGAAAAGGGAGTTCCTGGTATCCTAGTTATCAGCCAAGTTCACAGAGAAAACAGTCAATTTGAAGCCAGTAAAAGGTGACATGAGACATTAAAAACAGATACTGAGAACACTAGGTATAGTGGCACACACCTGTAATCCCAGCACTCGGAAGGCTGAGACAAGAGGATTGCCATGAGTTAGAGGCCAGCCTGGACACTGTCAGGAAGGGAGGGAGAGAGAAAAAAAATAGAGACAGAACGATTAACATTTATCTAACTAAAATTACCAAGTAACTATTGTTATAATGAAGTAACAGGGAAAAGGGAAAAGAAAGTAGCTTAAGAGGGGAAGAGGAGAACAAAAGCTAAATTCTGGCAGCAGTGGGAAGTTATCAGGCAATGCCTAAATCTGAAAAATCAATACTAATTACCAAAAATCTACTATATTACACAAAGTGTCCTCCTGAAGAAGGGAAAAATGCCAAGGAAAATTGGATAATTGCTTCTCATTTAACAAACCTTGATTTAACACTCTGAATTATATAAATGTATAACTGATTAAAAATAAGGCATTTTGTGCCAGGGATTTAGCTCAGTGGCATAAGTACCTGCCTGGCAAGCACCAGGTCGTGAATTCAATCCCCAGTACCCCCTACAAAAAAAGACATTTTAAAAACAGGCATGATAGCCCACAACTATCATCAATCCAAGCACTCAGGAGGCTGATCACTGCAAACAAGTTTTAGGTCAGGGCTGGCTACACAGTGCATTCAAAGACAGTTTAAGCTACATTAGTGAGACCCTGTCTCAAAAGACATTAAAAAAAAAAAAAACACAAAGTTGCAAGCATTCTAATTAAAACAATGTAAAACATTAACTTGAACAATAAAATCAGATGATTAGCTTTTAAAAGATAGGATTAGTGGGATTTTCTCTCATTTTCCAATCTCTCAGTGACATTGCTATATTACTCTTTTGTTTACAAACTGATGGCTGATAGTCCTGTTTATCTTTGCTTACAATGTTTATTTTCCCTGTGGATACCACTGTGCTTCTTACCAAGGCTACCTGAATGACATGTAATCCTTTTTTTGGGAAGTGGGGTAGGAGATGAACTCAGGGCTTCACACTAAACTACATCCCAGTCCCATCCATCCCTTTTTTTCTGAGACAGGGTTTTACTAAGTCTCTGAATTGTCCAGAATGTACTTGAATTTAGAATCCTCCTGTCTCAGCCTCCCAGACTGTTATAATTACAGATGTGTACTATAAAGCCTTGCTCTTAACCCTCTTTTTTTGGGGGGGAGGGGGTAATTGGGAATAGAACAAGGCTTTGTTAACCATCATTCTGTCACAGCAAAATTTGACAGACTTTCACAGCAGTCTGTTTGCTCTCTCCTTCTGGTCCTTGCTATACGTTACCATCAGTGAATAAGTAACTTCCTAAACACAGTACTTTTTCTTATTTGTATTGCTATTTTCAGCATGCAGTATATTAGCCAGGCATGGTGGCACACATCTGTAAAACTAGCCCTGGAGAGGCTGAGACAGAAAGATCCATGCAAGTACCAGACCAGTCTAGGCTACAAAGTGAGCTCCAAGACCAGCCTGAACTGCATAGCAAAACCCTGACTCAAAACGACCAAAAAAAAAAAAAAACAAGAAAGAAAGAAAGAAAGAAAACAAACAAACAAAAAATAGCATACAGCATAGACAAAACAGTGGAAGCACTTAATAGTTAACAAATATTTGTCTTTCCTTTCTTCTAATAACAATATGAAATCTGAGTAACTTTTGTCATACCGTGAATTTTTTTAAGAAATAAAGGCAAAAGTAACAAATAGACGCACAAAGAAGAGTCTTCTAAGGAGGAATTGTAACTTATTAGCTTCCATTTTTTTCTACTTTAATAACTTTTGTTACGTGTAATTTACAGTATACACTGAGGATACAACTCAGGCCTTTGCACTGAGTGATATCCCAAGCTTTTTCTGTCTTTTTCTGAGACAGTGTCTTGTTAACTTGCTCAGGCCGGGCCCAAACTTGTGATCCTCTTGACTCATCCTCCCAGAGTGCTATGATTATAGGCATACATGACACCCAACTACATTGGCAGGTTTTTTGTTTTGTTTTGTTTTGTTTTTGTCTTTTTCCTTTTTATCAGTACCAGGGATCAAACTCACGACTGCCTGCTTATAAGGCAGGCGCTTATGCCGCTGAGTTAAATCCCCAGCCCCACATTGGCAGTTTTTAAACGATCATTCATTCATTTCTCTGCAGAACTGAAATTAACAACATAGTTTTTAAATCTTTATTAGTCCTCTCTTGGCAGACACTGGGATATTCATAACTTTTTCAAAGTATATAAACAATATACAATATGTAGTCTGGTGTAAATCTGACCAAAAAAAGTATCAATGTCTTTACAAATCGGGCCCAACAACATAAAAACAAAAGGCATTGGGCTGGGGATTTAGCTCAGCGGCATAAGCACCTGCCTTGCAAGCATGTAGTCATGAGTTCGATCCCCGGTACCAGTAAAAAAAAGGCATCTAATGCTAAAAATATAATCACAGAAAATAATCACACCATACATTGATTATCTTAAAGGCTGAAAGCCTGAAGAATTGAGGGGAAAAAAATTTTTTAAAGCCGTAAGGTTTATAGGACAAAGACTTAAATTCTTTTCCTTACAAATCATATGAATGCACATACACATTCACACACTCCTTTCTTTCTTAAGAAACCAAGTTTCTTGTCAAAATGTGTATTTCATTTAAACATACTAAGTTTTAACTATTTATATTTAGTATAAAAGAAGCCCTCTATTTGCATGGTAATAATAGGCATGAATTTCAGTTACTACAGTTAACAAGTCCTCTAAAAATTCACATGTCATTCATTACAATGTATTAACTGAGAAACTACATAAAGTACAAACTTCTCGGCTAGCTTTTCAGCCCACAAATGCTGCATAACAAGACATGTGTACCATGATCAGTGACCAATTATGTCACTTCTTGCAGTGATTGATTGCTACGCATCTGTTATTCATCTCTTATATACAGTACTTCTGTAATCTACATGACGACTTGTGAAAATGAATAATCAAATGGGAAATGGGGCTGGGGATGCAGCTCAGTGCAGTAGCCTAGCATTTCAAGGCCCTACCTTTACCTCCCAGTAATGGGAGAGAGGTATTAAGAAAGGAAGAGGGCCAAAGATGTAGCTTAGTGGCGCAGCACCGGCCTGGCAAGCGCAAGGCCCTGAGCTCAATTCCCGGGGGGAGGGGGGAGCTTTAAAAAAAAACTTTTAAAAAGGAGCTGGGGTTTAGCTCACTAGCCTAAGCGTCTGCCCAGCGAGTGTGAGGTCATGAGTTCGATCCCTGTACAACCAAAAAAAAAAAAAAAAAAGGAACTGCAAACAAAGATAAAAATGCAGCAAAGAACTATAAAGTGATAGTGCTACATTTTGACTGAAAATTCAGGGAGACTTAAAACAGCTAACTACGACTTTGGTTTTTCTTTTTTTTTTTTTTGGTCTTTTGTCTTTTTGAGACAGGGTCTCGCTATGCTGTTCAGGCAGGATCTGAACCATTTTGGAGCCCAAACTAGCCTCAAAATCCCAGAGATTCTCTTGCCTCGGTCTCCTAAGTATAGGGATTACAAGTGTGCACCATCACACCTAACTAACTCTTGATACGGAGAAATTTCGAAACTTAGGGAAATCAAAGGGACAGCCAGAAGAACTTAAGTGAAAAGTAAACTTCTCAACACAAATAAGGAGCATGATGGCTAAGACAAAAAGGTGCCAGGCATGCTGGTGCACTCCTGTGAGCCCAACACTCCAGAGGCTGAAGTAGGAGGATTTCTATGAGTTACAGACCAGCCTGGGACACAAAGTGAGTTCAAGGCCTGCCTCAAGTACCCCATAGTGAGACCTTGTCTCAAAGAACAGAACAGAACAGTAAAAGAACCCTCACAGGTATTTTAACAACATTGAAAGCACAGAAGAGAAAATGTTGGAAGCTAATCCAAATTTAGGAAGGTATAAGACAACTCACAAAGACACAAAAAAGACACTGTTCAAACTACCATTGATACTTCAAGAAAAACTAATTATGAAAAAAGTTTAGGAGAGTTTTTTGAGACAGAATCTCACTTAGTAGACCTGGCAGGCCTTGAACATGGGGCAATTCTGCTTCAACCTCCCACGTGCTGATATTATAGGCATGTGCTACCACATTCTTGGCTTTAATTATGAAATTTTAAGTTATAGGGTACTACATAAATAATAGTATTAACATTTTTTAAATTTCCTTATACATTTTAGGGGCATTTTTAATGTACTGACACAATTTTTAAATGCTGAGCCAAGCGTAGTAGTATATGCCTCAGGAGGGTGTGGCAGGAAGATCACAAATTACACACCAACCTGTACATTATAGTCAAACCTTGCCTCAAAAACAAAAAAACAAGCTGGGTGTGGCGATGCATGTCTATAATCCTAGCACTTTGGGAAGCTGGAAGATTGTCACAAATTCCAGGCCAGCCTGGGCTAGTAAATTGAACAGCCTGGACTACACAGCAAGACACTCTCTCAAAAAACAAACAAACAAACAAACAAAATGGGGAGGTTTAAAGATTAACACAGGTCAAAAATTTTTCCCACTGATTATTATGATCATTTTAAAGAGCTTCATATTGTGTGGGGCTTTGTTCAATCCCACACTACTATTATCCAAATCAAAAGCTGCCTATATATAATAAAGATGTGTTCTCCATCTTAATGTATCAGGAACTACTACTCATCAATAGAATAAACAAGCCCCCCCCCTTTTTTTTTTTGAGACAAAGTTTCGCCATACAGTTCAAGCTGGCCTTAAACGCATGGAGCTACTTCTGCCAAAGTCTCCTGTTGCTGGGATTATAGGCATGTGCCACTATGTCCCTGATTTAAAACCCTCTTAAACTCACCTTTGTTTGTCACTTATCTGAATTATGAGACAGGATATCTTTTGAGAACCTGCTTCCAAATAGAAAGTTTAAAAAAAAAAATAGTAGCCCTTTCATTAAAAGTATAGCCACAAAACAAAAGATTTTAAAATGCATGAATGCCATTTACATCAGTACTCT